GAATTGGTGGTTGAGTAAAGATTCTTTAGGTTCTCTGGGTGTTGAAGAGGAAAGGTAAAACGTTAGTATTTACTTATTACATTTGTTTCATGCTAAATTTGGATTTACCTTGTCAGATTACCTCTGGTTGTAGCAAGAGATGTAACATTTAGTCAGTTCGCAAAACGAGTTGAGATTATTAAGGCCAGGAGGTTTTTTGACTATCGTAATGGAACTATAACAATTATTGAGTTACCAACTGGCGAACACGAAGTTACACACACCAAATTTAGCCGTCAGTTTACAAGTGCATTCAATAACGCACTAGCACAAGATGATATAGAGAACTGGGGTGCAAAAAGTAAGCCCTAATTGAATTTAGCCTGCGTACATATTTTGCAGTGCTAACTAATTTTATTGCACCCAGGTTTATACACTAATCTTCTATCAGATGAATATGAAGAGCCGGACGCATGCTTTATACCCAAACGTCTACTCGATCCACTGAACCCAGCACAAAATCCTTGTGATCGAAATGTTTGTATTATTTATCAATATTATTATTAATTTGTTAGGGGTCCGGTTCATTTGCCCGACAGTTATTTGCCCGACAATCATTTGCCCGACAAATATTTACCAGCTTTATTTCAAAGTTATCCTTTTTTGGTAGTTTTTTGTCGGGCAAGTGAACGATTTCCTTTGTTAGATATGGATTTCATTGTGAATTTATAATTTTTTTAGGGGAACCCATGGCCTACTATAATTCTTGAAATTGCTTCCTCAGAAACACTTCAACATGTAAAGGATAAGATAAATGATTATTGGCTAGTCCCAAATCGCTGTGAAGATGTGATTGTTATTAAAATAGGTACATGGCGTGGGAGACGTCGTAATAACCAGACTAGACGCCCTTTGCGACGTTTGCGGGTTAGTATAATTTTGAGATTTTTTTTTCACACTTCATCCGCTTAATCTATTCTTTTGTATTCTTGACAGTGCCTAAAATTTTGTCGGACTGCAACTCTTCAGCAGAATCCTAATGCTACAACATTTGATGCAATTGAAGAGGTAGAATTAGTGTGTTTTTACAGTTGTTATTCTCTTGCTTGTTTAGCTCATATTATTACTTGTCACTTCAAGATTGAGTTCGGTTCTGTATATGCTAATGGAAGGGAAAGCCATTTTTGTACTGGGCCTCACATGAAATGGATTACAATCAACCGTGATTGTATTTATGCTGGCTGTCCTCAACCTCCACAACTCCCTAACCTTTTTTCTATCATTTCTTCAGTGCCTTTCAGGCCTCCTCAATTTCCTAATCCTCTTCAAACACCAGGCGTTGCGATCGACCTATATGATATTCAACAATCGATTTTTCAAGCTATGGGTCCAAATTGAAAGTGCAAGAATAATTTGCAATACAAAGTTTAAATTTATATATAAAATAATAAAGCGAAGCATTGTTACATAGTAATAATGATTCCTCTCTAGCATAGCAATTTTAGATAAAATAAATAAAAAGTATAGATGCTTAAAAAAAGAAAAACCTGTAAAACGAACAACTTTGATTGTCTGATGTAGAGGGCTTGTAATGCGAAATCTGGGTTTGTTCCATTATATGTAATTCTATCTGTGATGAAAAAAAA